CTCCATGAATGGGGGTCCTCGGCCTGGAAAACATTGAAGACCCCTGATGTAAGATGTTTCTGATGCTGGTCTGAAACATGTGGCTGGAGAAGTTAAGGTGGACCAGATGGAGAACCACTATGGAATCAATGCTCTGTGTTTTTATAAAAAATGAGGAAAGGATTCAGAAATTAAACTTTTGTTTTAAAGAACATGAAGTCGATGTAAAATAATTTGGTCGCACGGCGATAATTTTCTTTTAATTTATTCTTATATTTTTTTGGGTGCTCCTTAAAAACCGCCAAATACATATATTTATATATATATCGAAACCTTTATGAAGATATAGAAATATAAATTATATATATTTTTTTATATATATATATTTCTATATCTTCATAAAGGCTTCGATGCTCCTTTTTCTCCTAAATTCTTTATTTATTTCTATTCTGATCAAAATGTCTGAAAAATGCATGAAAAATGCTCCATAATGACAATAAAGAAACTTGTTTCTTAAGATCCTGAAGTAGGAGGGACCGGATGTGACGTCAGTTCCCAGATCCTGGAGCTAATGAGGAAGTTTCTGGTTCTGTGAGAATCGGACAAACACTTTGATCTGGTCAGGATGGACGGTTCCGGTCTGGTTTCTCCTGAGAGGCGCTTTTCTTTCGGTGTCGTTTGGTTCTTGGTTCTGTTCTGCCGAACCGCGGAACCAGCAGGTGAGCTGAGAAATTATCCAACAAGTTTCGTTTTCACCGCTTTCGGTAAACTGCGCTGCGCTTTCTGCTTCTGCTTCTGGTTCTGGTTCTGGTTCTGGTTCTGGTTCGGCTAACCGAACTATTTCCTGCTTTTAATCCTGTTCCTGTTGGATCGGACCGAACTGTTCTGGTTCTGATGTTCTGATTTAATCCGGTCTCCAGATTAAAGGAGGAACAAACAGGCCTCCAGCTGTTTGCTCCTCAGAGCTTTACTCGGTCAGAACCGAACCGAACCGACCAGAACCGAACCGCCTGTATTTATAGGATGAACAGCTGCGGTGTCGGTTTACTCTCTGGACCTGAATTTAACCTCCCGTTTAAAACTAGATCAAATTCAGCTGGAAGTTTGCTGTAATCTGAATTATAATCCAGGAAAAAAACATCAAAGAACCGCAATAAATCTGGTAAAGAAGGAAGCTTTAAAGTCTGGACAGTGTTAGAATAAAATCTGAATAGAATCAGGACAGAATAATCTGAATAAAGTCAGAGAAAAAACAAATAAAATCAGGATGAGATTCAGGTATAAACCTGAAATAATCTGGATTAGGAAACTAGAAAATATCCATTACTGTAAAAATGTCCATAGCTGTATATTGTTTATTTATTCACTATTTATAATGTTAAAATTCTTTACAGTACAGTATTTTATTTGATTATTATTTTACTTTTCACTATTATTTTTATACATTTTTCTACGGTCCTCATTTTTGTGACCATTTTTTCTATAATCTTTTTTTAATTTCCTCATCGTGGGACAATAAAAATGATTTTCTATCTTATTCTGTTCTCGGTTAAGGAGGATAAAATCTGTTACTAAGTTAAGACAGGCTGGGATTAAAGTCAGGGGTCAGAATGCAGCAAAAAAACTGAACAAAAACTGTAAAATAATCTGAATCAGTTCCAGATAAATTCAAAATTAAATCAACAGTTTTGAATCCAAATAAATATTAGAATTAAGAAAACAAAAAACTTCTCTTTTTCTTGTGACGCTTTTTTATTCAATTCATTTGTTTATGATAATCTGATAAATAATAAATCCGACCAGCAGGTCCCGGCTGCTTCCTTCCTCCTAATCTAAAATAATTTCTCCTAATCCAGATGTTTTTTAGAATAGAAAGACGCCATTTGTTCTTCAACCAAACTTTTTCACTGTCATAGTGTCAGGAGGCTTTTCCTAAACAGAAATTATTGATGTAGATTACTGGATTAAGATCCTCGACTTTCTCAGTAATCTCTTTAGGCTTTAATTTCCTTCAGTTTTTCTGGCTGTTTATTTTGCTGAATCGAACTAATCGACTGTTTTCATTCGACATCAAACTACTTCCTCTTCAGGAGAATATTTCACATCCTCATCCATAATCTTGGTTTTAATCTGGTCATAAAGATCTTTCTTCTTTTTTTCAGCTGCTGTGGAGAAATCATCTGAGCTGCAGAATGTTAGGATTAACCAGACGCTGCTGACCTGGAGCTCAGCGGCCAGTGATGGGAGGTTTTCTGTGGAGTATCGAGGCTCTGGGTGGGTTCACCTGGAAAGGAGTCACAGCTGGAGGGAAAATCCATCTTCATCTGGAAAAGAATATCTGGGCTGTAATAGATGATATTCTGACTTTGGAGGAACAAAAATAAAATCAGAGAATCATCTAGATAAAAGTAAAGGGCCAATAAAGACCAACCTGTTGGAGAAATAAAAGTAAAATCTGTTAAAATCAGGATAAGATCAGAGAAATTAGGATGAAAATAACGAATCGCCTGAAAGAATATCAGAATAAATCAATAAAAGTTTGAATAAAGTCAGAGGAAATGAGGATGAAGTTCCTGCTGCAGAAATCTAGATTAAAACATTGAAAAAATCTTGAGTTAAATGTTTATATAAAAAGTTATTTGAAGTGAACTGTTAATTTTATTTAGTTTTTGTCATTTTCAGGTTTGAGCTGAAATGTTTCGGTTGTTTCTCTGAATGCAGGTTAAATGTTTCCTCTCTCTGGTCTACAGCTTTGACTCTAAATGGACTCCGCTAGACAGATGCAAACAAACGCGCCTCACTTCCTGTGACGTCAGTGCGGAGCAACATCGGGAGGAGTTCGGATGTCTGCGTGTTCGCGTCGCTGATCGGAGAAACGGAGAGAAACCTGTGGAAGCCTGCAGCAGAGAAGGTGACGCTAACCCAGATGTTTGCAGCTAAATGTTGACGTTTCTCAGGCAGCTTCTGTCACACATCTTGTTTTGGTCTAAAGACGGGGCTCAACAGCCCCACCTGGTGGTAGGTTTCCCCTTATTGCTCCTTTAAGATCTCTGTGGCCTTGCTGGTTTACTTTGACTCATACTGGCATAGCACTACAGTGACCCTGAGGTTCACCAGGAATCCATTAATAATCTAACATAGTTGATGTGGATGGGGGGGGGAGTGATCACAGCCTCTGGTGAACATCAGAGGGTTCAAAGATCCAGGAGGTCAGCAGACCTCCACCTAGAAACAGAAACGTGTCGGACCGCGTTCAGCTGTGGTTAACCTTCACACCATGATGCTTCACACCTGGTTAGAGGCGTGAAAACCTTCAGAGTCGTCGTCCCTCCCCCCTCTGAGGAAATCTCATGAGGGGGGTGTTGGTCTAGTGGTTGGAGCAGTGCGCTTGTGCTCTGAGAAGGTTGCAGGCACCCGGTTTGATCCCCACAGCCTCCACTCCCTGACCCTTAACCCCCCACTGCTCCCTGGGCGCCGCACCATGGCAGCCCCACTGCTCCCCAAGGAGATGGGTTACATGCAGAGAGGGAATTTCCTCATTGTGGGAGAATAAAGGGATTTACATAAAGTGTAACTGATTCAGTTCAACCCAACAAACCGACCACCAACGACGTCACGCTGCTGAGGATCAAACACCTACAGGAACCTTTGATTAAACTTAGAAAATCATTATATTTGTTAAATTGTTTCGATTTAACTCTAAAGTCATTTTCTTTTCAAATAAGTGCATTTTTTCTTGGATTTGGGGGGTAAGCGAGACACGTTTAGAATAAGAGAAAACAACTCCTAACCCTAAAATGAAATGTGCGTGTGAAAGCGTGCACCAGGAGCCCATTTCTCCTGGTGAACGCCCGGTTTAAAATATGCTGTTCTCACAGCTCATCAAATCTCACTGTGTCCGCATACAGCAGGGATTATATAGTGAACTTTATAGCGAACTCTGTTAACTGACTGTTCAGACAGATGATCACTGCATTTCACTCCCTGTTGGTCACGTAACCCCTCCTCCGCTGCGTGCTGCCTGCGCCATCTTTGTTATCAGTCGCCGCTGTCGGGTAGCAGCAGGCTATGGTGACATAATGCTTTGCAAGGAGAGCTCACCGTGCAAAGCATTCTGGAATATATCTGCCTCTTCTGAGGCCTTTTTTTTTTCTTCTCATAAACTTCGTAGACACTTTTTCTCCTACGACCCTCGGCCATTTTCAAAGAACCGCGGCAAGCTTCAATGTCTGAAACCGTAGCTCACCACAGATACACGCCTGAAAGTTTGCAGAAAAAGATGGCTAACGGGACGAGCGCGTAGGACGGCTTTACGTAAACATATCACCAGAATGATTGACAGTTAGGAGGACCACTGATTGAGATGATCCACTCCGTGTTCTGTCAGATCAACATACCTATAATCAATACACACGTGCGAGACATCAGATTTGAGTTTATCCCTTCAGTTTTGGAGGAAAAATAGAATTTGATCTACCTTGACAGGCGTGTATCCCTTTAGTCATGTACAAAAAAGTAAAAAAAATTAAGGTCAGATCATCATACACTTAAAAAAACAACAAAAAGTAAATAATTTGTTGGTTTTTTTGTACATGACTAAATTGAGGTAGTTTGAAGTGTATTTTTCATAGAAAACTAAAGGGATAAGCTAAAGGGATGTTGACTATGGGTATGCTCATCTGACAGAACACAGGAAATAAAAGATCGTCCTCTCTACCTTTAAAAGTTTTTATTCCAAATAACAAAATGATTTTTTTAATTGTAAATCCAAACTTCTTTAAATATGAAGCTGTTTGATAACGGATGAAATGATCCAGCTGTGATGTTGCAGCACAGACCGCTGTCACAGTTACAGTTTTGCTCTTAGTTTCTAAAAATGGAAAAAACTGTTGTTGTTTTTTTGGTTTGTGTTTTGAAACTGAAAACCCAGAGAAGGAGCCCATCGTGGATTTTCCCTCGTTTCCTTCCAAAAAAGTTCAAAAACAATCCACTGGACTTTGTCTCCAAGTTTGAAGACATTTCGTTTCCCATCCAGGAAGCTTTTTCAGGTCAAAATGTCAGAAATAGCCCGACCACGCTCGGATTCATCGCCATTTCAGTCCAGTTGATTGTTTTTGTTTTTTTTAATGACGATGACTGAGAATCTTCACCAGCGTCCTCGTCTCCTTCTTCCCTCCTTCTGACGCCTCTGGCCATCATTCCTGTCCGTTTCCAGGTCATCCATGTTCTCCTGACGTCTCGCTGAGCGTCTCTCCCGGATCCCTCACTGTTCTTCTGCACAGAAACCCACCTCTGCATGCGGAATACGCCAATAACTTCAAACACAGGATCACCTTCAGGAAGGAAGGAGAAGAGCCTGAGGTGAGGAGACGCTTCCTTCCTGTCATGGCTCCTCCCACTGGACGCTCTCCATAAATCATCCTGTTTTCTCTTTTTTTTTCAGGAACCGGTGGACGAGTTCGCCTCGCGGGACTTTGACGACCTGGAGGCGGGTCAGCGGTACTGTGTTCAGGTGCAGTTTGTTCTGTATGGGAGGAATCTTCTGGGTCCGCCCAGCTGTGAGCAGTGTGAGACCATCCCTGCCTCCGACCCCGACCCCAGTAAGATCCTGAGCTCTACCGGTCCTCATGTCACAGGTGTTGTTTACCGTTTGTAAGGCTGTTGGCTCCAAACTTTAATCTGCGAGTCCTGATCGTAACCTTGATTTTCATCGAGCGGCTAAATGAGCACTAATGCTAACGTTTTCCTTCCACCTCGTTTTCCTCACAGCTGTATCCAAAACGACCCAGATCGTCGTGGTTTCCATCGTGGTTTCTGTGATCTTCCTGTTGGTCGGCTTCGCCTACATCCACCTCTTCAAATCCAGGAAAATCAAAGAGTGCCTCCAGCCCCCGTACACCATCCCAGGGGTGAGAGCCGCCATCTTTCTCAGGCTTCGTACAACTTAAGAGTTTTATCCTCCTTTTCTTCCACGTTTCTGCTCTTAACTTGTTTCTCAGAAAGTTTTTATCTCCGTCTTTTACCAACAAAGACGTAAACGGTGCAGTGATGGCCTCCTATGCTCAGACTGTTCACTGTCCATGCTGAGTCACTGGTTGCTATGGCGATTCCCCCTACTTCTGAGTGACTACCCGATCCGCCTTATGAGCACGAACCGTCCTGCGTATCCAGATACACATCCGGGTCGTCCTCGGTTTTATGGTGTTAAAAAGACCTAAATGACATTTTTAACTCCCCAAAAATAATAAACGTAATAAAATAATAAAATGTTAAAGGTTAATAGTTTATTTCTTGAGAAAATAAATGCCTTAAAATCCTTTCTGTTTTATCACTCGTCTCTGCCTGATCCGCACCGGAAATGGAATCCTACGCTACTTCCAGGAACTAACTTTTTCGGCTTTTTGAGTTTTATGTTTTCCTGTCGTGTTAACATTGTGCTATATAGTGCCTAATCTAAAGAAAGAAACGACTAAAATGCAGATAAACATGGTTTAAACATATATTGCATGACCCATGATGACATCAGAGACGCAAAGAAAATGTAAAAAGCATCAAAATTTTTTCACAAAAGTCATAAAACATTTTTAAAAGTGTGTCTTAGCATTTTTTTGTGAATTAAGAATAGAAATAAGTAATTTTAATACTATAATTACATTATTTATTTAAACCTGGATGTATATCTGTTCATGCATGCGCAGGACGGGCAACACTCTACGATTTTTTGCACTTTTCGGGCCAATTTTCCAGTCGTGAGAGAATTTTTTGATCGGGCTGACTCTCTGATGGTTCGACATGTAGCATACCATGCGTAACGAGGGGCGATCAGCCTCTAACGACCTAGCCTGACGTAGTCCTACTCAATTCTAGTCAGAATATGAGTCTCATTCTGCTTTAAGGCGTAAGTGTGAGCAGGTAGATCGCATCAGAGCGTCGGGTCGCACAGTGTGAGAACAAACATCCTGAGCTGGGAACTTTTAAACCCTGAGGTTTCTTCGTACAGTTTGAGCTGCAGCTGCGTTCAACGATTGAAGATATCGTACAGCGTACGCCCGGCTTGACCAGTAAAAACTGCAGTTCCTGATATGCAGGAGACACATGACCAGGTGTTCATTATTGAAACTGAGAAGACGACGCAGAGCGGAGGAAGGTTGCTTCTATAAAGTGTGTTTCTTTCTGATCATGACGCCTCGAAGTATCATTTCCACCTTAAACCGCGGTCACTTATGAAAAAAATATATAAAATCAATCATTAATACGGTAATTATATCTTCTATAGTCGTACATTTTTCACAAGAACCAGCAGAGTGGACTGATTAATGTATCTCATGGTGACGCGTTGCCATGGTAACCGGCTCAGGCCAGAGATGCTGCAGCTTAACATTGGGGGTTTTCATAGCTTAATTATAACAGTTTTTATTGGACTCCCTGCAGCCAATCAGAATCCAGTATTCATTCAGACCTTTGTATAAATTTCATTCATTTTTGGCTAAAAAATCAGATTACAGATTGTTTCAGTAATAAAAATAATAAAAATATAAACAATGTAACCAAAACTGATGGCATAAAAAAAAAAAAAACGTTTTCTGGGATCAGAATGAAGGTTGATGTAGACTTTATTCTGGATTCATGGTCCAATAAGTATATAAAATAAAGATAAAACAATAAAACAGTAAAAAAAAGCAACAAAAGAACACTATTTATCAATTAGATGGGAGTTTTAAGGTGACGGGAATACCGCTGCTCCCAAAGCTTAGACTCAGATTGCACTAAGTTTGGTGTCAGTAGAAAAGATCATTTCACTGCCAGATGCTTTTAACCTACAGAGAAAAACATACATTGACTTTGGTAAAACGGCGTGTAAGGTGTTAACTCTCACTGTGACAAAGCATCATCATAGGCCACCTGTAGGCGACAGAGTTTATACAGGAATTAGTAAACCAATGCTTTTTAATGCTCCCCTATATATATATTAGGGGTGGAACGGTTCACAAAATCCACGGTTCGGTTCACGTTTCATGGTCACGGTTTTCGGTTCGGTATATGTTGATTGTTAGGAAAATCTATTATGTCTTGTATAGTACAAAACGTGTTGCACAATGCTTGCACACTGTTGCACTTTTATCCCCAACTTTCTTTCCGCCGTCATCGTAGGTCACTCTAAATGCAAACTGGTCCCATACAGCAGACCT